CATACTGAGTGGGGGCATACAGTGTGTATTTATTTATTTTAATTAATTAATTAATTAATTTTTATATACATTCAATGACATTGTTTAGCTTATGAAATGAACATTTCGATATGTGAGCAATTCTCCCCAATCCCGTTGATCAAAATATCTTCAACAGATTACACCACACCTCTGGTCCTGTCAACGCTCTGCCTCTGTATTCCTCCTCCAAATGTCCTTCCCTAGGTCCCACTTGTCCACACACACCACATCTGGTATTCACCCCCATGTCTTGTGTTTGTATATCTTTTAGTCAATCAGTTTTGGTCGTAGAGTGCAGACACTCGGTATATATTAAGTGGGGACATACAGTGTTTCTCCTTCATAGCCTGGCTTGCTTCACTCAGCAGCAATTCTTCCATATTCTTCCACTTTCTGTCAAAAGCCAGGGTTTTGTTGGTTTTTATGACTGAATAGTATTCCATAGAGTATATGTGCCACAGGTTTTCAATCCATTCATCCATATGGGGGCATTTGGGTTGGTTCCATGTCTTAGCAATCTTGAATAGTGCTGCAATAAACATCAATGTGCAAGCACTTTTCCAATGAAGAATTTTTCTGTCCCTTGGGTAGATACCGAGGAGTGGGATTGCTGGATCATATGGTAGATCTATTTGTAGATTTTCTGAGGAATCTTCAAATTGTTCTCCACAGTGGCTGGGCCAATTTACATTCCCACCAGCAGTGTAAAAGAGTTCCCCTTTCACCACACCCCTGCCAGCACTTATCATTTTTTATTTTTTTAATCTTAGACATTCTTTCTGGGGTTAAATAGTACCTCATTGTTGTTTTGATCTGCATTTCCCTTATGATGAGGGATGCTGAACATTTTTTCATATGCCTTTTGGCTATTCGTATATCATCTTTAGAGAGTGTTTTTTTTTCAACTCCTTCTCCCATGTTTTAATAGGGTTGACCATCTTTTTTTTAAACAATTATTTATTTAACTTTATTTATTATTATTATCATTATTATTTTCCAGTTTGGTCAGAGAGAAACAGAGAGAGAGAGAAAGGAAGTGAGAAAGCAAACCACCAGGTCCGAGACTTGAACCGTGGTCGGCCATGTGGGAGTCCAGTGCCTTTAACCACCATGCCACTTGCCGGCCCCAAGGGTTGACCATCTTTTTACCAAACAGCTTCTTTAGTTTCTTGTGTATTTTGGTTATCAGTCCATTATCTGATGCAGAATTTACAAAAATATTTTCCCATTATTTTTCAAGTCTGGTGCACTACACTCAACATTAAGTCTTCTATATTCATCCATTTTGAATAAAAAAAAAATGGTTTCATTGTTTCTTTTCTTTTTCTTTTTTTGGAGAGGTTTTTCGCTATAGGGTGCATGCGCTTGCCAGACAGACAGAGAGAGACATAGAGACAGAAAGCGAGAAATCACCCCCCGGGGGGATGGTCACGCCGCAATCCTTTCTCCTCCATTCTCTTCTCGGGATCTTGGGCATGCACGCACACGTGCCCAGTGTGAGTTTTAAGCCACCGGGTCCGGGATGTGAACCACGGTCGACTACGTGGGAGTCCAGCGACATAGCCATTACGCTAACTGCTGGTTCCCGGTTTCATTGTTTCTTATGGTTGAGTAATATTTTATAGTATAATATGTGCCACAGTTTTTCAATCTAGTCATCCGTTTTTGGACACTTAGGTTTATTCCATTATCTTAGCAGTTGTGAATAATGCTGCAATAAACATGGATGTGCAAATATCTTTCTGACAGTGTTTTCCTATCCTTTTGGTAAATATCAAGAAATTGGTTAGATAACGGAGACGTAAGGCAGTTCTATTTGTAGGTTATTGAGAAACCTCCACATTGTTTTCCGCAGAGGTTGTACTAATTTGTTAGGTCATTGGGAAAGTCATGACATGTTTTTCTATGAAAAAATGCATCATGACTTTCCCAAGAACCCAACACATTCCTACTAGTAGTATAAGAGGGATCCCTTTTCACCACAGCCTCACTAGCACGTGTTCTTAATTTTTTTCTTAATCCTGGTCATTCTAACTAGGGTTAAATGATATCTCATTGTGGTTTTAATGTGCATTTCCCTTATGATAAGAGACTTTGAACTTTTTTTTTTTTCATGTACCTTTTGGCCAATCATAAGTCTTCCTTGGAGAGTTGTTTACTCAGTTCATTTGCACATTTTTTAATTATTCATTATTTATGGGTGAGCTGCTTGAGTTCTCTATACATTCAGGTTATCAATCACTTATCTGAGGAGTAATGTGGAAATATTTTCTCTCATTCTGAGGGGCTTCTTTTCACTCTAATTATGGTTTCTTTTGCTGTGAAGAAACTTTTTAGCTTGATGTAATGTCATTTATTGATTTTGGGGATTATTGCATGCTTTATGGGTCTTATTTAGGAAATCTTTGCCTATTCCCATGTCTTCAACAGTTTCCCCTGTTTCTACATTTAAGTTTTTGTTTGTTTGTTTGTTTTCTTAGAGAGATTTTTTTGCTATAGGGATCTATGCTCATTAGAAAGAGAGAGAGAGACAGAAAACAAGAAATCACCCCCCAGGGGCAATGGCCATACCACGATCCCCTCTTCTCCATTCTCCTGTGGGGATTCCGGACATGCATGCACACGTGCCCAGCATGAGTTTCATGCTGCCATGTCCAGGACTCAAACCTCGGTTGACCACGTGAGAGTCCAGTGTCCCAACCATGACACTACTTGCTAGCCTCATGTTTCAATCTTTGATCCATTTTGAATTAATTCTTGGTAATGGTGAGAAATAGGGATCCAGTTTCATTTTTCTGCAGGTGGATATCCAGTTCTTCAGCACCATTTACTGAAAAGGCTTTCTTTTTTTCCTTGATATATTGATAAGCATTTTGCACAAGATGAGCTTTTAAATCTAAAGAATTTGTTCTCAAATCAATGTGGAATTCTTTTGATGCTATTCAAAGACTATTTCCTAATATTCACCACATACAGGAACATATTGAGGACTTCAAAAGATCTGTAAGTTAAGAAATATGTTCATGGTGCCAGCGGGTGATATGGTGGTTAATGTGATGGATCCCCACATGGCTAACCATGCTTCAAGTCCTGGACCTGGTGGTTTGAAAATCATGCTGGGCACGTGTGCATGCATGTCCAAAATCCTGAGAGGAGAATGAAGGAGAAACTGTGGCATGGACATCTCCCCTGGGGGTGATTTCTCACTTTCCCTCTATCTCTCTCTGTCTCCCTGATGAGCAACACATGCCCTACAGAGAAAAAAGTTCATGCTTAGCCTAGATTTCTTTCAAACATTTTGTATGATAAAGCAGTTTGTTTCCCCTGTAGAATACTTATAATCTGAAGTGCTAGCATTCCAAGAAAAAACATTTTGGGAAACAGCTGTTTTATTCCATAATTTATTATCCTATTGTTCTTTAGAACTGCCTCTTCTTGTTTCTGACATTTGCAATAAAAATAGTTGTATTTATTTCTGTCATTTCTTATAGACTTCCTGAGCTGGCTTTCCACCTGAATAACTTGGGAAGAGAAATTTATACTCAACATGTTTATTCTTGCATAACTGAAGACATTATAGGCAAGTTATAGTTTGTATTTTTTATCACCAATTTTTAAAAGTGTGTTGAAAGCAAAATGTATTATTTTAGTAAATATAGTACTTATTAGTAGTGTAGTTAAAACTATACAGTACTTTTTTTTTTTTTTTTTTTGGAGAGGTTTTCGCTATAGGGTGCATGTGCTCGCCAGACAGACAGAGAGAGGCATAGAGACAGAAAGGGAGAAATCACCCCCCAGGGGGGATGGTCACACCGCAATCCCTTCTCCTCCATTCTCTTCTCAGGATCTTGGGCACGCACGCACGCACACGTGCCCTGCGTGAGTTTTAAGCCACTGGGTCTGAGATGCGAACCGTGGTTGACTATGTGGGAGTCCAGCGACATAGCCATTACGCTAACTACTGGTTCCCAGTACTTTTTATATTTATTTTTTAAATGTATACAAATAACCTGTGGCAATGCTCATTATTGAAAAATAAAACAATCTGAAGTTTTAGAATACATGACAATTTCCCACTCACTGCAGATAATCTTTGTTATCAATTTTTTTTTGAGGTCCTTTTAAAAACACATTTCAAATATTTACTTTATGGCTTTTTGGTTTTATGATTTCTATTATGTAGCAATGCTTCCCTTGCCCTATGGTTTTAAACAGGACAATCATGTGCTTGTGCTTAAATAGGGCGACCAGGAAGTCTGTAGCATAACTACAATATGCGTAATAAATGGCGTTTTTGGGGATCATATTTTAAAAGTTTATTTATATCAAGAGTGACAGAGACAGCAAACGAGAGGAAGAGAAAGAGTGAGACAGCAGCCTTAACAGGGTCTCAACTCCCTGATTCACCCTAGCCTTCACCCAGCCCTATATCATGAGTGAGCATACGCCTGGCATACTCAGGAAGGTCTCCAGACTTGAACTCAAAACCTTCTCATACCAGATTGCCTTGCATAGTGTTGCTATGCCCCCACCTGGCCCCTAAATGGCATGCTTATTTTATACAATAACAACTATGTTCATTGACATCGCATGATATATTCAATGTTCTGTTCCTCATTAGTGCCACGTAGTTCAATGTACTATGAAGTTGCAATGAATGTTGATATTCGACATAATGTTTCTATCAGTCCCTGCATATCCATCTGTGATGCACTAATCTCTGCATCAGTTTGTGTCTCTGAATTCTGCTAAATAATCCTGAGCCTTTAACATAGTTTACATGATGTTATTAAAGAGGTTTGGTTTGTCTGTCTGTGTGTCTACCTATTATCTATCTATTTCCAGCCTTTATGACAACTCTGTACTTTTGTAGAGTGTACATTTATTTCTTTAATTAACCTAGAATTAAATTTTATATAAATCATGAAGAAAGAATCTACATTTACATTTTCCCAACCAAACAATTGTTCTAACTGCAGCAGTCTGTATGGGACTCATGTGAACCCGGCTTAAGAAGATAAAGATCTTTGAATCATCCACAAAGAGATGAAAATTGAAGACGTGAAGGTGGATGAGATCCTGAGGAAGAAAGCAGATACACAGATGGAAAAAGCATGCCATACATATCTACCGTTAGAAGAGGGAGCAAGAAAAAGAGTTACCCCAGAGGTAGGTAGGAGAACCTAGACTGATGTAGTGGAAGTTACAGATGAAGGGTTTCAAGACAAGGGGGCGGGGGGTGCAGTAACCAGTGTGGGAGCAGGAATTTGTTGTAAAGTAGGCGAAACAGACCGTTTGATTCATGAATTATGGTTCTACTTGAATTCTGTGACACATCTGTAGTGTGACTAGCTTTTGGATTATTTTGGATTATCTACACTTTATTGCTTCATTTCCACTCATGAGCATGGACAATGGGCTAACCACAGGCAGGGTCTGTTTCTGGGTAGTAAAGTGAAAATTGCAAACAATACATTTGAAAATGTCATTTATTAATTTTTCGCTTGTGTGGTACACTCACAAATATTTTTGATGGGAACAAGCAGATGACTTAATGATTGCGTTGCTGGACTCTCATGTGGTCGACTGTGGTTCAAGTCCTGGGCCCACTGGGTGCATGTGCGTGTGTGCCCAAGATCCCAAGAGAAGAAAGGAAGAGAGGGGATTGTAGCATGGCCACCCCCCCTGGGGGGTGAATTTTTGCTTTCTGTCTCTCTTTGTCTCCCTGGGGAGGGCATGTGCCTTATAACAAAAATCTCTTTTTAAAAAATATATTTTTGATTTTGATTTTAAATATATTTTTGATTTTGATTTTAAATATATAAATATATTCACATGGTGAATATATTGATACAATGATATAAGATGTAAGAGAGCTTTCAAGCTATACACACTATAAACATAAATGATGTGATCTGTATGTGCAACACATGTCAGCTATTCCTCATGTACTTGGTGACAATGTGGTGCATACTTGACCAGGCCTCAGCATCACTCTGTTTGTCAGCACCATGATAACATTATACAAGGCATGTTAAGCTTGCTGATTCTATGCATTTATAAACTAGTCATTCCCTTTTCTAAAAATGTCATTATTTATTTATTTGCTCAGAGAGAGTGAGATACAGAGAAAGAGAGAGACCCCTAACAGGGTTTTTGCTCCCAGCTACAGCCAGCCATGACCAAGGCCACACCTAAATGCCCTGTTTACATATAGCAAGACCTTCAGACAGAAATTTAGGATTGGCCTGTGTAGCTTTAGCACCAGTGTTGTGTTACTACTGTGTCACCGTGGCTGGTCTAAACTACTTATTTTTAATGCCTATTTATAGCTTACTCTTTCCTGCTTTCCTTTTTTAAAAAGAGGTTGAGAGAGGCAGTGCATTTATTCTGGTTTGGTGTGGACGTTCTGTCAGATCAGCCCGTAGCCAGGCCACAAAGGTGATCATCGCTGTATGAGTATATAGCAACAGCGCCACACTAGCCTTACCAGCTGCCCTGGAACGCAGCCAGTCTGCAAACGGCACTGACTGGGCTGCTCTGCCTGGCTGCCCTGGCTGAGGGCGGATGGCAGCAGGACTCCAGAGCAGCTGCTCCACAGCAAGACCTGTGAAGAAATCTCCACGGAGGCATTCACCGAGAAGCCCATCGGAAATGTTGATGTGACACTGAGGAGGCTGCCTCGGCGATGAATGAGAGGTCCTGCCGATGGGACCTCAGCAGAGTGATGGGGTGGCTCATTTTGATTCACGGTATTGAGCAGCTTGTGGGACCAAGACAATCAGCAACAGTGACAGGCCCTGCGTTGGAACCTACAGTCAGAAAGCCAGGCTTGACCAGCGAAGCTCTCTGTTTGGAGCAGTTTGCAGTTTTTAATTTTTTTTAAAAGCTATATTCATAAATATGGAAAGTACCATTGCCAGCATCATTAAAATCATATATGAAGGAAGATGATGCTCATCCATAAATCATGCTAATGAATGCCAGCTAATGGTGATGTGCTGGATGCTGCGTTCCATAAAAGTCTTCCAGTCATTCTCTATCCGCTTATCCTGATTTATGGTCTTCATAGCTCAGCTTCGCCAGATATTTTATTATATATATTTATTCCAGGATAGGTTGTTTCTTTCCCATCCCATACCAAATGAAGGTACAGGAGGATGGTATCTTTAAATGGTCTCGTTTTCTACAGTATCCCCAGTGTCAGTAACAGTGCCTGAGCATAGTAAGCCCTCAATGTGTGTTTGTTGAAATAAACGTAAACATTCAGTATGATATATTTCTAGTGATCTCCCAGAATAACAAAGAGGCTCAAAACCTCAATTTTGAATAAGAAATATGCTTATTTAATGAATAGTAATTTTTTTCCAAAGAGATGCCTAAATATTTGAGTTTTACAGTATTCAAAATATGTAATGCCTTATTATATATATTTTTGCCTCTGATGGATTTATCAGTTAGTATTAAAATTTAAGCCAGACAACTAATTGTTTTGTGTGTGTGTTGCCAAAGAATGAGTTTTGAATAGGTTTCCCTCCTCCCTTTTCCATTCCTCACAATTTGCCCTTGAGAAGATATTGCCACAACACAAAAACTCACCTCTAGCTCACTGATTTTAAACACACACACACACACACACACACACACTAAAAATTCCTACTTCTTTTCATAGATTGGACATATCTGTACAAAAGAGAGTGTACAGATGAGTTTACTTAGGTAGAGAAAACAAAATATTTGTAATTACATTAGGTAGAAGTAATTTGGGCTCTTGGATTAGTTTAAGCAGAGATGAGCTAGATTTGGCAGGTGACAAAACCTCTGTATTAGAATTTTCTAGAGAAACAGAAGCAATAGGATATATGTAGAGATATAGAAAGAGATTTATTATGAGGAATTGGCTGATGAAGTTATGGAGGCTGGGAAAAGTTACAATCTGTTGTCTACAAGCTGGAGGCCCAGGAAACCCCATGGTGTAGTTTTAGTCCAAGTTTGAAGGCCTGAGAACTAGGGGAATTAAATGGTATAAATCTGAATCCAAATCTGAAGACTCAAGAAGCAGGTGCTGATGACCCAAGGTAGGAGAAAATGGATACATGGATACCCCAGCTCAAGCAGAGAGCAAATTTGCTTATCCTCTGCTGTTTCATTCTTTTTTTTTTTTGAGAGTTTTTTTTTTTTTTTTTTTTTTTTTTTTGCTATAGAGCACGTGCACTCACGTGCGACAGACGGAGAGAGACAGAGATAGAAAGTGAGAAATCACCCCCCAGAGGGGATGGCCACGCCACAATCCCTTCTCCTCCATTCTCCTCTAGAGATCTTGGGCACGCATGCACACGCACCCTGTGTGAGTTTAAGCCACTGGGTCCGGGACTCGAACCGTGGTCGACTACATGGGAGTCCAGCGACATAGCTATTACGTTAACTGCTGGTCCCTGCTTTTTCATTCTTTTAGGCCCTCAACAAATTGGATAACGCCCACCCATATGGGTGAAGGTGATCTTCTTTACTTGGTCTACCAATTTAAATGCTAATGGTTTCCAGAAAGACCCTCACACTCACACCCAGAAACAATGTTTTACCAGCTAACTAGGCAGCCCTTAGCCCAGTCAAGTTGACACATAAAATGAACTATTACAAATCCTTTTCTAGCTCAATACTGTATATCTGTGAAAAGAGTGCTGACTCAATATTAAAAACATCAACCAACCTGTGAGGTAATACTAAGGCACATAAAATATTAGGAACCACATAAGAGTAGGATTCAAATTTCAGATAGAAAGTTGGACTGGATCAGACTTTCTTAGGTGTCATCTGAGAGCACTCACAACTGTTAAATGAAGATTTTCCCATTGCATATTCTAATTCAGAGTATTATGTGGGGTCCCAATAATTTTTTGTATGTTTTTAAAAAATTTAACAAGGTTCCAAATGGGGCCAGACAATGGCACAGCGGTAAAATACAACCCTCTGTGAGGTTGAGTCACATGAGAAGGTTCTAGGTTTTTATCCACGACTTCTCTAATCATGTTAGGCATGTGTGTGCTAATGATCTACCTCCTGGCAGATGCAAGAGGTAGATTGCTCATGGTATAAAAACCCTGCTGTTGGGAGCAAGAGGGAGTGTTATTTCTCTGTCTTTGTCTGTCTCTCTCTGTTTTTTTTTTTTGAGGGTTTTTTTTTTTTTTTTTTTTTTTTTTTTGCTATAGAGCACGTGCACTCACGTGCGACAGACGGAGAGAGACAGAGATAGAAAGTGAGAAATCACCCCCCAGAGGGGATGGCCACGCCACAATCCCTTCTCCTCCATTCTCCTCTAGAGATCTTGGGCACGCATGCACACGCACCCTGTGTGAGTTTAAGCCACTGGGTCCGGGACTCGAACCGTGGTCGACTACATGGGAGTCCAGCGACATAGCTATTACGTTAACTGCTGGTCCCTGCTTTTTCATTCTTTTAGGCCCTCAACAAATTGGATAACGCCCACCCATATGGGTGAAGGTGATCTTCTTTACTTGGTCTACCAATTTAAATGCTAATGGTTTCCAGAAAGACCCTCACACTCACACCCAGAAACAATGTTTTACCAGCTAACTAGGCAGCCCTTAGCCCAGTCAAGTTGACACATAAAATGAACTATTACAAATCCTTTTCTAGCTCAATACTGTATATCTGTGAAAAGAGTGCTGACTCAATATTAAAAACATCAACCAACCTGTGAGGTAATACTAAGGCACATAAAATATTAGGAACCACATAAGAGTAGGATTCAAATTTCAGATAGAAAGTTGGACTGGATCAGACTTTCTTAGGTGTCATCTGAGAGCACTCACAACTGTTAAATGAAGATTTTCCCATTGCATATTCTAATTCAGAGTATTATGTGGGGTCCCAATAATTTTTTGTATGTTTTTAAAAAATTTAACAAGGTTCCAAATGGGGCCAGACAATGGCACAGCGGTAAAATACAACCCTCTGTGAGGTTGAGTCACATGAGAAGGTTCTAGGTTTTTATCCACGACTTCTCTAATCATGTTAGGCATGTGTGTGCTAATGATCTACCTCCTGGCAGATGCAAGAGGTAGATTGCTCATGGTATAAAAACCCTGCTGTTGGGAGCAAGAGGGAGTGTTATTTCTCTGTCTTTGTCTGTCTCTCTCTGTGTCCCTCTCACTCATGGACACAATAAATAAGTAAACTTAAAATAAAATGAGCAGACAAACAAAAACCAACAACAAAAATCAAGGTTCCAGATGATTTTTTATTTTCAGGGATGTTCGGTAACCTAGAAGACCTTCAGATCTCAATCCTTTCCTCAGACTCTATGATTATTCAAACATTTTTGTGTAGACTAGTCTTTAAATGGTTTTTGTTGTTTTGGTATTGGGAGTCATAGACAGTGGTTTATAAATTGGGCAGTTTATATCTAACTTAAAAACACATGAGCAAATAAAGAGGGCTCATTTCATGCAAACTTCACTGTGGAATGACATGCCCTATGGATCACTGAACCCAGTAACATTTTTCCATTTATTTGCGTACATGCTCTATGGCCCTGCAGTTGGTAGCGTTCAAAGGTTAAACTCAACAGCTAGAAAAATGATGACAGTAACAAAGTTTAAATAACAAAAAAGCTTGGTGCATGAAAACCAATCTTCAAGTCCTATAAAACTACCAGTGCCAATTTCTCATTATATTTTTAACTACATCATGATTATACAACGTGAACTATCCTGCAAGTTGAAAAACAAATAGCCATGACTTAGGGCAGTATTTCTCAACTGTTGTTCTGCTTTGAATTTTCGTTTTATTTATTTGATTGTTCATTTTTACTATATATTTCAAGTGAGTTAAATAGAAAATTTTAATTAAGAAAACAGTGTTCAGAGCCCTGTTTGCTCTCAAATGCCGTACTCTATGGTCTAGTAAATACTCTAATGAGTTGTAACACTGCAAGATGTTTCTAGTTCTTTTGCATTTTTAACATCACCAGCATATATTTCTGCCAGACTTTCAAAATGGATTCTGTTTCCTCAAAATGGATTTTTTTCCCTAAACGAACTTAGTGAAAGAATTTTTCCTATTCTATTTTTTTTAACAATGCCTAATTTAACACATAAGCTATTCTTAACCCAAACTATAATTGAACTAATTGTTTCTCTAGCCTTTCTACATAGGTATTCACACTGCAGAAATCTTTGAATAATTATTTTAATTTAGGATCTCTAGATATTGCAGACAATAATTACAGAAATATGGATTTTTTTTAATTTGAAAAGATTCAAGATAATTGATTTTAATTTTCTCAGTTTTTAGATGTGAGGAATATGATTTGTGAGGACTGAAAAACTTGCTCAAGGCTATTTAACTCATGGAAAGCCAGTGCTAGCACCTGGGGTTTCAGAAACCAAATTCTAAGTTCTCAGCCCACACATTAAGTTCCCACACCCTAGTAAGATCTATTGGTTCTGAGTTAAATTTTTAAGTTATTCAAAGATATCATTATTGGTGATTCTGAAAACAAAGTCTTTCTGCTTATTTAGTATGTGCAAATATATTCTTATATGCATGGATAGTAATAACATCCATCATAACATACATACACATATAGTAATAGAATGTCTCTGCAGACCCAGACTTAGAGATGTTTTACTTCAATAAATATGTGGCTTTCATGTTCTATCTTTTTCTTTGTTCTCCTTCTCCTCCTCCTCAACTTTCACCTCCCGGTTAAGGTATCAGTTCCTTTTTTTTTGGAGAGGTTTTTTGCTATACGGCATGTGTGCTCACCAGACAGACTGAGAGAGACAGAGAGACAGAAAGCAAGAAATCACTCCCCAGCGGGGATGGCCATGCCGCAATTCCTTCTCCATTCTCCTCTCAGGATCTTGGACACACACGCACACGCGCCCAGCGTGAGTTTTAAGCCACCAAGTCCGGGACTCGAACCGTGGTTGACCATGTGGGAGTCCAGCGACATAGTCATTACACTAACTGCTGGTCCAAGGTATCAGTTCCTTAGGGAGATTTTCTCTGGGTGCCCAGAGCAGCATCAGGAATGATTGTTACATGCTTTCATAGCACCCTTTAACCTCCTATTACAGGACAACAATTTCATTATTTCATGTTTATCTGTGCACTTACTTAATTAAGGTTTGTCTGTTCCTCACTCTAGACTGATTCTAACCATTGAGGACTGGACACCTGTCTTTGGCCATAAAGCACCTGTCATTTCTCATGGCTGCCTGTTCTTGCCCCCTATCTCTCATGCCTGGCTCCATGCCTGGAACATGACAGATTCTAAACACTAATGGAATGAACCAAGAAATATCCTTTCTCCTAAAATTGATATGAACTTGTAGTTATTGCACTGTTTCCTTCCTGCCTTCTCAAATCACATTTATGAAAATTAATTTTGATTTGTGGTTCTTATTCTTTCAACCTCTATCTGCTACAAATAGGCTTTATTCTAAGCATTTGCACATGGGCCCTGGCAGGGATTCTCCACAGTGGAGTGTTCCAGGGCAGGCAGATCTGTAGGAAGATCACGGTCATCTTTCTGGTATCTTGAAGCCAAAGAGAAGGAGGAAAGACACCATACCAGAGAGCAAAAGTGAGGAGCACCGCAACACTCCTGGCAGAACTTTGGCTAGTGACCATAGTTCAGAATTGTTCAGGTTGGGTCCTCAACATTCATTCCAATCTAGAAGGGCACTCCCCAACACCTAAAGATGAGAGAAGTTTTTTGTTTCTTTGTTTTTAGCTTTATTAGAGGGCATGTGCGAGAGAGAGGAGAGAGGAGAGAGAGACAGAGAGAGAGAGAGAGAGAGAGAGAGAGATCACTCCCCAATAGGAATGGCCATGCCACAATCCCTTATCTTTTTTCCTCTCAGGATTTTGGGCATGCATACACACATGCCCAGGATGTTTTTCAAGCCACCCAGTCTAGAACTTGAGCTGTGCAGTCAGCCAGATGGGATTCAGCTGCCCTAAGCTCCATGCCACCTGCTGGCCCCAGCATGAGAGTTCTTAAAGTTCCTCTTACATACACATGAAGTGAAAATATCTGCCATTTTTCTTGGCTCTAAGGAGATGACCATTTCCTCAGAGGGTTGGGGATACTTCATGGGGACTAGTGAGATATGTCACAGGGACTCTGTGAGCAGACTGAGGTGAATGAGTTCCAGGAAAGGGAATAAGAAGCCAGCATGATAATGAAATAATGGAGAAAGGGAGAGGGAAGGCCTAGCTGTCCAGTGGCACTGAATTGAGAGTTAGCAGAGGAAGCCTCTTTGTACCTCCTGGACCTGAACCAAGGGCTAGAGGAAGGTCAGTAAAGAGCATTCCCAGAGATAGCTGAGGGTAGTGAGAAATCTTGGGGTAGTGAGAAATCTCTGCCTTCCCAGATCAATATGCACACTCCTGGAGTATCAGAAAGAAAGGTCATTCATTCTCTTTAGGCTGCTTTGCCTGCGGAATACTATCTTTTCAGGCCCTGTCATGAGTACAGATATACTTTGGATAAAACACTAAATTTCTATATTCCAGGAAATGATGAATGAAGAAGGGCAGCTACCTTTGTGAGTGATTGAAAAAACTTTACTGAGGAGAACCATGGCCTAGAGGGCAGGTTTGATTCCTCTTCACTTTGTGACCGGAAAAGCTGGGCATGGATTCCACAGCCTAGATACAAGGAGAGCCTGGAGATGTGAAAATCCTGAAAGAGATTCTGAACAAAGATGGCTCCTTGGGTCCTGAGGCAGCAACATCACAGAGTAAGTTATATGTAAATCTGTGTATTGGACTTTTGGTTATCTGTTAAGTTGTTGAGTTGTTGGGAAAGTCATGACATATTTTTCTGGGTTTTTTTTTTTTTTTTCAGTAAAAATGCACCATTAATGGGGCCAGCAAATGGCATAGCAGTAACGTCATTGGACTTCCACCTGGTTAACCATGGTTTGATTCCCATTCCCAGACCCACAGGCCTGAAAATCATGCTAGGCACGTGTGCATGCATGCCCAAGATCCTGGGAGGAGAATGGAGGAGAAGAGATTGTAGTGTGGCCATCCCCCGGGGAGTTGATTTCTCACTTTCCTTTTCACTGATTCTGTCTCTCTGTCTGTCTCTGGAAAGCTCACGTGCCTTAAGGTAAAAATCTCTTTTAAAAACATGCATCATGACTTTCCTGACAACCCAATACATACTCTGTGAAGCCTTCTGAGATGTTACGGCTTGATAGAGGATGTGTGGTAAAAAATTAAGGGTTGTCCTCATCACTGAGTGTAAAGGCTCTGCCCCTTGGAGCTTGAATTAATTAATTCCTATTACTATATGTAATTTCTAGCAACTAAGTTAATGGGCTGACCCCTGTTGAAGCCTTCAGGGCCTGGCACCGTCGGTCCCAGTTGAGGCTCACTGACGGCAGTATTGGGGATCATGAAGCTTGATCAGGAGGCAAGAGGACCCACTCCTGAGAACGTGCAAATGCACTGAGAGATAAGAGAGGACAGATGGGCTCCAGAAGTCAGCCATTGTGTGTGTGTGTGTGTGTGTGTGTGTGTGTATGTGTGTGTGTGTGAGAGAGAGAGAGAGAGAGAGAGAGAATGGGTGTTCACTGGCTGGTGAAGAAAAAACAAACTTCTACTTACACATGAAAAGATGAGCTCAAACCATAGGCATTAAGTTAAATGACATACAGTGCCAAAAGCAGTGTACCACGCTACCTTTCCAATAGTAGCTAATGTTAATTGAGGACCTACTATGTGCCTGGCACTATTCTCATGGCTTCATGTGCATTGTCTTATTTAATTCTTGTAACAATCCTTCGGAGTAGGTGGTTTTTATTAGGTTGTCAGGAAAGTCACGACATTTTTTTTTTTCTTTCTATTTTTCTATGGAAAAATGTGTCATGACTTTCCCAACAACTCAGTATTATTCCCACTCTGCAGATGGCCCAAGTAAGTGAGGAGGTGAATCAGAATAGGATGCCAGGGATCCTGACATCCTGACTCCAGCATGGAACCCTCAGTCATTACCTATGTCTCTCTGCTGCATTGACCCTAAGGTGATAGCATGAGCTGCCTCAATAGGCACAAAGACCATCTCAGTTTTGGATAGTCATTTGGATAGTCACTCAGCAACAGACCTCCTCCTTGACATACTGGCACCATCTGGCACACACAGAACAGTTCTCATCCTTAGCCAGTCACCCCTCACCCTGCTGACTGCCCACCTGTAAGCACGACACATCCCAACACCTACATGTGCACGGCATGTAGGTACCTACCCTACCCATTCTATATTTTTAAAAATACTTTGAAAATCTTCACTTGTGCTGCATCCTTGTCTTTGTTTTCTCAGCCACTTCCCTTCCCTAATGGGATCATTCCCTAGGGGAGTTCTTTACATACTTTTGCAAACTTTAATCACTTTGTTTCGTGCCCTTTCCCGTCACATCCTGGTTTTCAAATGTTGGTTTCCCAGGGTTCTGTCCTCCTACCTCTCCTGTCACTGTCTACACTATCTTTGGGTGATCTCAATCACCCCTATGGCTTCAGATACCACAAGGATTCTTGCACATCTGTTTTTACTCTCCTCTCAGATCTTCTTCCTGTTCTGGGGTTTGTTGAGATTTTTTGCCAAAAAAAGATATATGGGGTCTTTACCGTCAGAGATATTTTAACTTAGTTGCTAGAAATTACACATATTAATAGGAATGAATTAATTACATATATTAATAGGAATTAATTAATCATATATATTAATAGGAAACAAATATTGTCTTTAGGTTGTTTAACTATTCAAAGTACTTTCATGTTTTTAGTTGAATTTAGAATAAGATAATAAACATTTTGTACTGTATTTAAATCATACTTATATGTTAGATATTTAATGTGGACATTTAATTTTTATTGGTAATAAAAATCACAATACTGAAGTAAGGATTAAGAGCCATTTAAGTGAAGATAGAAATATTCATAATATTTTAGTTACTTATATTTAATAGAATTATTCTTTGGAATTACCTTGTCTCTAAAATTAAAGCATAAAATACATTGATAGGTATTCAGCTTTTTAAGCACTTTTATACAAAGAAAAACTTATCCATTTCCATAGGGAAATCTTTGCTTATGAGGAAAAGCAATGCATACCCAGTAGCTATGCAAAAGTGTAGTTATCACTGGAAATGGAAAACTACATTTCTGTAGTCTCTAGTTACAACCAGAGTATTTCCTTTTTATTTTTTAATATAAAAATGATTTAAATTGGAGTTGTACAGTGGCACAGTGGTAAAACATGACTGCTCTGTGAAGATTATAATACCTGGGAAGGTTCTAGGTAGAATTTGAAGACCTTCCTGAGTACACAAGGTACTTAAGTGTCCATGATCCAGGTAAGCTGAGGGAGTAGGTTTCAAGATTCTGTTGGAGGGCCGGCAAGTGACGTGGTGGTTAAAGGCGCTGGACTCCCACATGGCCAACCACGGTTCAAGTTTCGGACCTGGTGGCCTGCTTTCTCACTTCCTCTCTCTCTCTGTCTCTCTCTGATCAAACTGAAAAATAATAATGATATTAATAATAAAGTTAAATAAAATAATTCTTTTAAAAAAAGATTCTGTTGGGAGTACATGTTCTCTCTCTCTTGCTCATAGAAGAAATAAGTAAACTAAAAAAAGAAAAGAAAAAGAGTTAATATCCCTCAGCATTCTGTCAATAGTTAACTCTCCTGAAGCAACTGTCAGAGAAAAAGTAACTGGAACTATTCAGATAATTCAGGAAAATCTTTCATTACTGTACAAACTACTTAGCTTAAAGCATCCAAGTTTGGGCCTCAGTTTTTCTCAATGATTTTAACCTTGATTATTTGATTATTATTCATTACCTACAGATGATCTGCGCATAGAAGTCAATTCAAAGACAAGCCCAGGACAAAAGTCAACCATCCTGACTCCACATCACTTTCTACTGAAACTGTAAGGCCATGCATCCTGAAACATTCAACTCACAATAGTTGAGTCCTTATGTTACAATGAATAAGACAACATCAAGCATCATGCAAATATGCAAAATAGCACACCGTTCTGGCTCCTGGAATCAACACTTTAGCACCAGGTGTTCTCAGGATCACAGTGACGTCCTCACAAACTGACAGTGATATGGGTAGAGCCATCTGTGCTGGTCCAAATGGAGATCTACAGAAAGGGATGGGCAAGGCAAGACCATAGAACATGGCCATATTCCCAGGCCCAGCCTTGCCTACTGTCTCAGGATGGAGAGTTACAACTTTCTGATGCATCTGGAGTCCTCCTAGGCAAACTTTCAGGAAAGGAGATTCAGAGATATTTGACTCGCTCAGTTGTTTGGAGCTACAGGGAACTCAGCTATACCCTGTGAAAGTCTCAGACATGGCACATTGCAATGGGTGTGTTAACAGAAGTGCTGTCTTTATTGGCTGGCAGTGGTCACCCAAGGCAGGTGAAGAAAAGGTAAAGGAAGAGCAGAAAGAAGAAGCCAGAGAGAAACAATTCTAGAAGAGGCAGGGACCCTGGATAGACCAGAGTTGGAAAGGCGAGAGAAGAAACTTTGGAGGCAGAGGCATGAAGGTACTTTATATGCTTGATGGATTATGCTAGAGTGCCTGGTTTCAGATTTCAGCTCTACCACTCATGACCTTGGAGAAATTACGTTCCTTCTCTTTGCCTCAGTTTCTCTATCTGTAGAATGACAACAATAATAACTTTCTCCTTCTGTAGTTCTTGTGGAATTAAATGAGTTAATATCAGTGAAACACTTAAAACAGCATGTGGCACACAGAACAATTGCTCATTAAGTTTTTGTCACCTTGGGGCCAGCAGGTGGCATAGTGGCTAAGGCGCTGGACTCCCATGGGGCTGACTGCAGTTCAAGTCCTGAATCCTGTCACTTAAACTCATGCCGGGCATGTGTGCATGCATGCACATGTGCACCAAATCCCAAGAGGCTAATGCAGGAGAAGGGATTGCAGTGTAGCAATCTTGGGGGAGATCATTTCTTGCTTTCTCTCTTTCTCTGTCACATCGGCAAGCGCATGTGCCCTATAGCCAACAGTCTCTTTCAAAAACGTTTTTTTTTAGTCACTATTGATCACTGTTGTGATGCCTGTTCTTACTCAGTGCCTCAGAACATCACTGTTTTATACGGAATGCCAGACACAGCACACACCCCATGGGGTGCAGGCACCTGCACTAGTCCTTGAGTGCATCTCTGAATTTAAGACCATGCAGATCATCTTCCATTGAACAGGGGTGATTGGAGCCTTTAGTACAAGGTTCTCTATGTCCTGCACATATTGATAACATGTTAGGACAGTTTTGTAGGGATTGGACCTGCATGCACACGTGTATGTGGGCACACACATTTGTGTGTGTGCAAACACACACAAAGTAAGCTCTTATTGTATAGCATACATTCTGCTAAGCACTTTACCTGTGTAATTCAATTACTCCACATGACAATTCTGCGAGGCAAGTCCAATTATTATCTTTATTTTAAAGATGAAAAAAATATGAGGTTGGATGAATTAAGGTCGCACAGAATCATTTATAAACGCTACAGCCAAGTACAGTCTGCCTGACTCCAAAAGCAACACTCTACACGTTGTGCTATGTTAAGGAGCACAGCAGTGGTCAGAGGGAGGCTAGGATGGCCAAGGACTTAACCCACTGTGCTCTAAGGAGATTACCGCATTTTCTGTAGTATGTCAGCTGAACATTCCAAAGCTAAATGCGTTTGTTACCTTAAAGAGCCTAACTGGAGCCATTGCAAATAGAGGTATTTAAATGGAGCTGTTTCTTGTATCTGAGTGCAGCTTCTCTTCAGCTCATCCCTTGCTGACCTCTGAAGCATGGTCAGGGATGCTGTTTACTCTCTAGGCAGTTTTCTCAGGGCATCCGCTCTAGGGTTAATTTACTTTACAAAACATCCTCCCTGGACCTGTAGCAGTGTGCCAGGAGCATCCTCAGGGATTTTTTCCTCTTCTTCTTCATCATCTGCCAGGACTAGTTTGGCATGAACAGGTTTCTCTGAGTGGGGAAGGCTGTGGATTAGAAATAGATGCAATAACAAAACACACAAAGACACACAAGTATAGAAAAGTGAGGATTAAGTGGGCACAGCTTCTTTGATGGAGAAGTTGGTGACTAGACCCAGCCTTGGGTTTTTTTCTTTTAAAGGGCAGAAAAAGGGGGAAGGGGAAAATGGGATGCAAAAGGAATGGGGAAGAAGGAAGTGGAACGTAAAGAGAATAAGAGAGGAGAAATCAGAATGCAAAGCCAGTTGTTTTTGGATGTAAATCATTTGAAGATGTGAAAATGACTGGCCCCATATAATTTCTCTGATTGTTTTGGCAGGACAATTTAATAAACGCATGTGACTTCCTTTAGCCCAATACTGAGCAGTATTGGGGTATTGGATATCAATAATAGCAAAAAGACAACCATTAACAACAGACAAATACTGCTTTTGTATATGGATGCTTTTCAATAGCCCTGCTAGAGTAGCTTACAAAAGCGCGTTTTTTGCATGTGTCTACGGGCCACATGTTTTAATCACATGTTTTCAAATTAACTGCTCTCCACAGTCATCTTCTACTCACCACCAGGATATGGGAGCTCCACAGGCACTCCTCAGTTGTTTCCACATTTTTGCTTTAGATCCTGGTTGGGAGCTGCACCCCAAAGAAACAGGGTTTTTCCAAGAGGCTTAGACATCAGGGGAAGCAAAGATGGCGCCTGTCCTGGGATGGTCTATGACTCATGCTCAGGTTTCAGCCATGTCCTTTCACCCCAGGGCTTTTTTGGCAGGAGGTGGATTTGGCTCTGGTGTTAGGGGAGGGAGCAGGAACAACCCTCATTGGAATTATTTACTCTCATTCCTCTCTTTTCCTTAAAGAGAGGCTTAGTCATTGTGTGGTAATTTCCCTTAGCACGTATTTTGACTTCTCTACCTGATAATCTGCTGAAAAAGTCCTCCAAATTTTGTTTCTTGATATTTGAAAAGGAGCTTTTGATAATTAAGGGGAATGTGTGTGTGTGTGTGTGTGTGTGTGTGTGTGTGTGTGTTGGGAGGTGGGAGTGGGGACTGGGGTGGGGCAACTGTGCTGTTTCTCAAAGAAACTAAGCTTTCCAAAAGGCTATTTTTGCACTATGAACTTAAATCTGATTTAACACTCAAATTTGAATGATTCTTTTTTTCTAGGTATTATGGGTTCTTCCCCTAAAGGAATGAAAGTCCTTGATTCAGTGCCTGAGAGACCCATAGGGAATTAGAATGTGTGTGTGTGTGTGTGTGTGTGTGTGTGTGTGTGTACTGGGAGGTGGGAGTGGGGACTGGGGTGGGGCAACTGTGCTGTTTCTCAAAGAAACTAAGCTTTCCAAAAGGCTATTTTTGCACTATGAACTTAAATCTGATTTAACACTCAAATTTGAATGATTCTTTTTTTCTAGGTATTATGGGTTCTTCCCCTAAAGGAATGAAAGTCCTTGATTCAGTGCCTGAGAGACCCATAGGGAATTAAAAATACATGATTATATTATTTTCAAAATATTATAGCCATTACATATGTATCTAGTTTAATGTTACTCTGAGATGACTTCTCTTTTGTGGTCCTCAACATTTAATACATTTTTATTTAACTGTTTAAGTTTGCTTCAGCTATGGTTTGGTCCACAAGGTTTGGCCCAGCCATTAACTAGGGAGCAATGATGTTTTCTACCCTAGCTGAGAAGGGCAATGACATTGGAATTACAAAAAAGGTGATCTGGGAGAACAGAGGTGGGATGCGATGCCCAGTTGTCATCTCTACATGAGGAACTCTCTTCCAATTTCAGCCTAGAATATTCTGGTGTTTATTATAAAAAGCCAAGAGAGTACTTATTTGGAAAAATTCGTCTGACAATATTCTTACTATTTTTCCGGCTGCCAGCATTCTACCTATGTGTTTCACTGACTGTCGAACGCGAACTACGCACAATTGCACAGACTATAGAACATTGCTATAGAGGAGATTGGATATGAAGGTTAATACATCATGTAGGCATTATACAGGATTTTAAATCTTATTATATTGTTAAAGATGACATTTCATTGTGGCTTATGCTTGGCATTCTGTTAAAAGTCAAATATTAATGAGAACTTGGAGAAAATTGTAGCCTATTATGTTTGCAGAACTGTGTTTTTCTGATGATGAAAGGAAATTTGGAGACCTTCATGTAAGCTGTCTCCAAAATGCTTTAGCTTATATTTTTGTTCGGTTTAATCAGACTCTTCCTTACCCAAGCCTTCTCTTGCCTCATTTCCACTTGCCACCATGCCTGATCTTGTAGTCTAGGGGAGGATGATGTTTCCCCTTTTTCTCTTTAACCCAAACATACACACACATAGTTTTCCTCAATTTATCATAATGAAATGTGAAAGAAGAATTAGATGAAATTTTCTATGGGCTAAGGTAGAAGCTTACTTCATAAGCTGTGGTGCCCAGCTTGGCTTCTGGTTTTTTTGCCTCATTTCTTGCCTCTGTTATTGATCAGCTTAAAGAATCTAGTTGTTGTCTAATATGGTGAGAAAATTGGAGAGAAATCAATGGAATGGATGGTTGCTAACCAGGACAGCTTCTGAAATACCCAAAGAAATGTTAGTATACAGCTATTATTTAATTTTAGTTGCTTTTTTATTGTCAAGGAGCACGTGTGTTTGCTAGAGACAGACAGAAAAACAGAGAATAAGGGAGAAAGTACCCCTGCAGTGGGGTGTGGTCAATCCATTCTCCTCCTTTTCTCCATTCTGTGCTATGCTTTTCAAGCTGCTGGGACCAGAACTTGAACTACAGTTGCGTATGTGGGATGTGGCTCTCTCAACTGCTAAGGTGTGGGGCCAGCCCCACTTTCATTGCATCTTCAAGACTAAAATGAGAAACAGGCCAAGAAGACACACCAAGGAGAACCATCATGACAAAGAATGAGTGTGTCAAAGGAGGAGGGAGGAGAATGATCAAGAAAGTGAACCAGCAACTCTAGGTATGCCGACTGAGAACTCTGTGACTTTCCAAAACTTTTGCAATATTTTATAATGTTTATACATTTTATTATTCCCTGTTGTCCAACATAATTATGTATCTTTCAATCAATTAGTGCTCTCATGTAGCTAGAGCCAATAAACATAAATTCTGGTGCCTCCCCAGGTTGTTCATATATAACTTGTCAGGTTCTAGCTTCTGACAGGTCTTACTTCCATTCTGTTCCTATCTGCATTTATCTGGATACAACTTCATTTTCTGTTTTATTTCCCATGCCACATTGGACCTGAGCAGTGGTGCAAACTCTTCACTTCTGAGAGTTGCCTTACCTTTTCTGGTTCGCATTTGTTCTTTGATCATAGCTATTTCTCTCTATATTTGCACCCAAGGAAAGATGATGGGTCCTGTTGTGGATGCTATAACTAGACTGCCTGGTTTATTTCTCAGTCTTAATTTGTTAGTGGGTAAAATTAACTAGTTTCTTACCCTCTCAAATATGTTAGATAGGATCCTATCAGGAAAAGACAGCACATTCAAATTGAGTATTTTGAG